CCTCTTTTTATGTGTGGAGATTTTCTCACAGAATATGAGTAATATAAAGGGTTAATATACTCATTTAAATCACGTACTTTAGTCGTATCTATGCAAACTCATTGTGAATGGAGAAGTTATGTACCAGAGTGCTGACTAAAAAATATAGATCCACTTTAAAAATACCGTAACTCACTCGGTTGTCAATTTGATTCAAAATTCGGCACTTAATGTGAATCAGCCTACTATTAGTCAGCAAAACAAGCCGTCACCGAGTTTTGATGGCACGACTAATGCCGATCCGTGGCACCGTAAAGTTGACCTACAAGGGAAGGCCGCTCGGTCGAAGTGGCAATCCGGAAGATGATGTGTGCCAAACGGATAGAGCTTGAAACCGATTTCAAATATATCTTCTACAACTGGAAAGCGTTCTTTTGAAAGACTTATGAGGACTTCTTATGCTAATTTTCGTGAATTTCGATGGCAAAATTCGGAAATTTCCACACAACACCTAATAAGCGTTGTAGGCCTGAACTGATTCTAAACGTTCTTAGGTGTTGCTCAGCCCATATTGTTATCCACATTTCATTGTAGCCCGAAAAAGCCCATAGCTTCCTTGGATTAACGCTTCGCATTTATATAACGTTAATGCAAAAGTAATGCGCGTTTTCCGATTCCTCAATTTCACATGTTATAACTTTCTAGCAAATCTATATTTTCCAATGCGATAAAATAGTAAATATTGATATGATGGGTTCTTTACGCCTGTTTCGCCTCTACCCCTATACAAGTTACTATAGTGTTAACCACTCCCGAGGCTCGTCAGTAGGGAAGAGTGGTGCACTGGAACGGATTGGTTTAGGGGGAGTATTTATACATGAGGGGTAGAGCAAATAGATCAAAAAAGTCAAAAAATCAGCTGAGTTGCATTTTTGTGAGCATTCTAGTGACAAAAGTTTTAGTGTTTTTGAACGATTGTAGTTGCAAATACTTGTATGATATGTATTTATTTTTACTCAAACATTTGATTATGGCGTTAGAAATGATGTTGGGAGTGTACTGTAGTGTTAAAAGTTGATCTATAAGTAATTCTAGTCTTTCAACAAAGACCATCAGAGGCAGCAAAGCTTTCAGCTTTCGCAATACAGCACATAAAAAATTATGGATTAATAAGCGAAAAAAAAGTTCTTTGAATCTTTTAACTGGCCAAACTCCATTCAAAAATTGTTAGTGTAAATGATAAGTAGCCTACCTTGTAGCCGCAAGCTTATAGTACAAAAAAGATTAAAGGTTTGTAAAAAAAGGTTTGCCAAAACAAAAAAATTGAAAAAGTAAAATTGCCACCTTTTTTCAACTAATGGAGTTTTGATTTTCTGCGTAGTAAACGGCTAAACGTTTTTGCAAAAAAACCGTCAAAAAGAGACCCTATGCTCACGCTTACAGAAATGAGTGAAGTTTGGCAATTGCTTTCTGCAGTACTACTACATGGACCACAACAGACAATGACTGACAGAATACGACTGGCCTTGTTGAGGTGACGATATCTCAGCTTAGATAATCTCAGAAAAAATGATTAGATGTGCATAATGTAGACATTTTGTAGGCATTGCAAAAGAAGCTGGATTTTCACAGGAATGTCTATATTCGCGCCTGAGTGCTGGCCCGAGAAGTAAATGCAATGGAATTCTGGTTTAGTGCGCTTGTATAAAGCTCTATAATTCTTTTATGAATGAGGCTAGAAGCCCGTTCTAACGACCAATGGATGGAGTATAAAAAGATTCTTGATGCCATGCTAAGTTTTTGCCAAAGAACAAATTTTGATGGAAAAAATTGTCTTAAAACATGAGCTACAAAGACGCACTTTACTTTTGCACTAACCTAATAGAAGGTGTATTTAGAATCAGCGTTTCAAATTCTATCCGTTGGTATCCATCCACTTCATATTGACTCTTCGAAAAAGCGGTCTTCCCTTGTTAGGGCCGTCCGCCTCGATTTGGATTGACGGTGGTTCACTACAGGTCATTCTATACATGTCCCGCAAGTTAAAGTTGTCACACAGGTAGTCAGTGCACATATTTGTTTTAAAACTTTATTATTCTAAATATTCGATGAAAGATATTAAAAAACCAAGAATTTCGACTATTGAATCAACAAAAAATACACAATATCGCTAATGTTCGATTTTCTGATAGCATAAATCAATGTTCCAAAGACTATAAGGTAGCTGAGCATAGTGGAATACCTTGCTTAAGAATTCAATTTGGGTTTTGAAACTTTTGTAAGAATAAAGAATGAAGGATTTGTTGTTTTCTTTACTCTTCTAGGCATATGCCTAGATATCATGTTACACTGGAAGGAACAACCAACTGCTTGCGAACCCTTGCTATGAACTGCGGACATTAGATGAGTAGCTTTGATTTGATCAAAAGATTCAGGGATGAAAAGCGGCAGTTTATGAATTTAAATTAGAAAACGGCGGTACGTGCCACAACACTTGTCCTTGTTCCCCTTTGCTCTGAAGAGATACCTCTTACAAGGTTTTCATATTGTTGAGGTGGGAGGTCAAAAAAACAAAACAAAATATAAAAGCTCCCCTTCCAAAGCGTTTTTATTGGACTTCTCCTCCAAGCTAATGAAAACTGCCTGACTTGTAAGCTTGTGACGACACAATCATGCTATCTCCACGAAGATATGCTGACACACGAAATTATCAACTGCACACTCGATAAACCTGTCCGTAAACATATGTAGTGCTTTAGCGACGTTGTCGAGATTTCGGCAAATTAGCTTGTGAATGAAATGTCACGACTGAACTGCCTGCATTTGCGCGTGCAGAAGGGTCAGTTTAGTCACCTCACATGACCATATGTGCCGTTGCACATAATGTCAACCTTTGCCGTCTTCGTCCTGGTTTTCTGAAGTAGACATACTTCCAAGTGAGTGTTTGGGGCTATATCATAGTGTCTTCTTGTCTTCTCAGGCACGTAACTACTTAAAGTGTTGACGCTAAGGATAGCTGATCGTTGCGTTTTTGCAGTTCCAAGACGGGAACAACAAAGTGCGCCAAATTTCACCGAAAACCTTTCCTGAGAAGTGTATCACCGGCAATTACTTGAGTACTCACAATGCTAATGCGGTGAAGAAAATATAGTGTAGTGGTAGCCATGACTAGTGACTGAGTGCTTGCATGTTTCTCCTTTTTTTTATGCTGTCTATGCCACACACAATCGGAGATAACCTAACGATTATTTAGCACTAGCATACCCCGCCTCTGCCCCGCCCTGTTAAAGCATTATGGTAGAGGTCACCAACCCCATTCCTATACAGCCTCCCCATGTTCCCATTTCTACATGCCAGTTCCCTATGCCCGGTTAGTTTTCGTAATCACCATGCTTACTTGCTCCCTGCGCCAACCCCAGCCCTGTTGATTATACTTTGCAAAAAAAAATGATGACATTGGTAAAATTGACGGACATTTCTAAAAACTAATAATGTATTCGTAATCAGCATGCTCGCCTATCCCCTCCTCTGTGTCAAACCCCAGCCTCGTCGCTCAAAGCTTGCAAAAAATAAATAAAATCGACGAAATTATAAGATAGTTCTAAAAACTAATGTTGAGACAAACAGACATTCAGCTTTATCAAGATTCTTTCCTTGAAGGCAGTGTCCCAGTAGAAAACTGCTTTCCGATTTTTCAACTTTTTGGAGCCTTTCGTTATGCTGAACCCTATTTGGGTTTTTCAGCGCATGAAAATGGTCGAGAGGTTTTTTGAAGCTCTACAAGTCCGTGTTCGCTCAAAATTACTTGCAAACAGGCGAGGTCCGAAAGACTTCTGGAGTAGATTCTAAGCCTTCTAGGTGCGCTTTCGTTCAAGATAGATTATTTTGGTCTACTATTGCAACGCTGTGAAGTTCTAATACCCATGACTTTGCTGGGACGCTGCCTTTTAAGAGCTCCATCCTATCTAATTTATAATGTATTTCTATATTATGACAAATTGTTCGTGATTGGATTTTACTCGATTGTCAGCTCGTGAAAGCGCAAGCGAATATTTTAAAATATAAATGCGCATCAAATAAGCAACTGTACGATGACAAGGACGATGGTTGATATGCATAAGAGCTTCCATATCATTACCGATCAAGGCTGACGTCGCAAATCATAACTACCGTACTAAAAATTGTGTGAATGATTTTGTTTACATACTTTATATCCTTCCACGATGGTTCCGACAAGAATCCTCAAAGCGAAAAGCTTCTTGATTTTAATGGCCTATATGGCCCTAAGCTTTGATAAAAATTATCTTACACTTCCGTGTCCCCGGAATGCTCATTGAAACACCTTCAGACTGCTGTTGAAGTGCCAAGCTTCTTTGGGCTTACTTTTCGGATTACATTGCTGACTATTGAAGAAAATCCCCGGTGCAATATCGCAGTGAGCGTAGTACGTCGTCGCAAACTCATCCAATTTTTCAATCAAGAAAAGACCAAATCTTGAGATTGAGATTGAGCAGAACTCTTCGCATAGGCCATAATCTTTTGAATAACTTACAATTCTATGCCAACTCGTTCAGATGTTGATACCAAAGGGTAGCAGTCAACATGAACTGTAGCTAGTTCCAGCTACACAGTTGCGTTACTCAATCTATATTTACGCTGTGATTAATTAGAAAATTTTGGGGAAAAAGTTTGATGCTGGAAGTTTAATAGGCCCTAATCTTTACTCGACACCATTTTTGATTCACCAAAAAATGGTGTCGAGTAAAAATTAGGGCATGGCGTACGCCGCGATGAACGGTAGCTGCAATTGCATAGTCTGTCCGCACAAGTCTTTAGCCAATTACTAGTTTGATTCATCTAAGTCGATGAGACTTAGAATCGGAAAGCAGTTGTTTACAGCAAACCTTTCAGATTCTATGACCTCAAACGACTATTCTTTCTAAGACCTCAAATGTAACAACACTGTACATACATGAAAGAATTTACTAGCAAGAGTAAAAAGCAATACTTAAACGAAAGATGACCACGAAAGATGAAGTGCCCCCGTATAGTAGAAAAGTTTAAGGAAAAGACAGGATAAACGATGTATAGTTGTTTAGAGTTATGATCACTGCAGACAGAGTCCAAGAGCGCTGTCGCATGTCGTAGGACAAGCGTCACAAGGAATTCCCTTCGTGTAAATCGGTTGGTCGACGATGTTACCTCTATAGAAGTCTCATACTAGCTTGAATGATAAAGCAAACGTGCGACGTACTTTGGATAATAAAGACATATGACCGTGTAGGAAGATGAACATTTGGCGATTCCACATCCAATTTTGTTGGTGTTGGCCCAAGCAATCTGAGAATAAGAAGTAAAGGTGCTTGTGTTATGCAAATAGAAAACTCAGCGTGTGTTCCACTCAATTTACTGTTTCCTAGTGTTGACTGCTTATAATCATTAAGGTCTTCAACGTGCATAGATAACATTTCTAAAAAAGTATTCGTCTTTACCTGGGTATACGATTCTACAGGTTGATTCACATGATTACTACGGAATGTCACTTGCATTCCTGGACCATTGGTTTCGGTTCTAACCACATCCCACCAATTTGTCACAGCCTATATCTTTGCATTTTACGAAATTCTACATCATGAACCAAACAAAATTGCCAACCTTATCTACTGCATCACTGTAAGTTGATGTAACAATACTAGTGCCGAAGTTTTTACCATAGTTATCATGCGGTGTCTTAGATGTAGGACATTGTTGTACTTCTTGAATAGCTTCATTTTCCAGTTCGCATTCAAATTTCTGAAAATTTTCAAGCATGATAGAGATTTCAGATACACTTGCGAGATTTGATGATGGATTCGCAGCATAGGTAAAAGAAATTACCAGTTTTAGGATATTTGCTCCAGATGGTAGAAAGTTTCCGCTTGGTCTTTTGACTTGGCCGCCTTTCGCGAGACTGCTTCTAAAACATCATTTCTATAAGGTCGTGACGTAAATTTATTAAACCTTCGTCTGCCTCTGAAAAATCTAGAACTTCAGTGCTCCTAAGGACATCATTTAGCGAAACTGAACAGAAAATAAATGGCAAGAATCATTTTGAACCTCTTGTCGTTATGTGTGTTCACGTACTGCGTCCTGAGTTCATCAGTCATTCCGACATTGTTCGGGCACTTTGTATTCGTTCCTATAAAGTTTGTAGTCAAAAGACTAATTTAACTTCGCCTTTCTGAGAATAGTGGAACGAATATTTTGATAGATGCGGTTGCTGATCCGGAGATTTATTGAATTCGAGGAAGAAAGAAAAACGGAAAATGAAGAAAAGAAAAGTACATTTAGGTAGCTCTCATCATCGGCAGACTGGAAGACATTGCAAATTAAAATTCGTAACTGCTATGAATGTTGTCTGAGATCTTTCATTTGGTTTTGTAAATACTATATTCTCTAGGATTTCTGCTGATACAGCATCGTTAACGTAGTCCGTAGCTCATCAATCATTCCGTAATAGCTTTTACGCAAAATGTAAAGGCTGTGACGGAATGACTGGTAAATTGTTCACGGGATCAACCTTTTTTGGAGTGAAGAAACAAACATCCCTATCTATCTTTCAATGATGACTGTAGTACCAAAAAGGCTACTGCATTCAAAAGACCGAGTTTTCAAAATTCTTCCAATTTCAATCTGGTTTCATTAGGATGTCTTGGAGTTAAGTTCTATGGCTTGACACTTGCCAAGATTTTTGAGAGCCATTCTGAAATTGCAAAAGCCGACGAAACGCCTCTTTTTTGATAGTAAATTTTTCCCTGTATCCCCAAAAAAAGTTTTGGGAATCCTATTGCCTTCTATGGTTATACACGGCAAATTTTTTGCCTTCGACGGCTTAGTTGTAAGCAGAGACTGAGCACCCTACACTTACCTGTAGGTGAAGTACTTTTGACATATGTAAAAAAGCAATATAAGATGTGAAAGTGAATTACGTTTTAGCCCTACTTTACCTAGCCCTCAGAGAGAGAGATTCATGTTTTATGTTTAAAAAATGAGATCAAAAGGATTTGGTATCTTTGATGCTTCGATTAGACCATTCGCTTTAGTATGTAGTAAAAGAGACTAAAAAAATTCCCTGCTGCCCTTTGTAATGGTATGTATATGCTTTTAGTCCCTCGCCAGAAGGAGACAAGATGCATGGCCACTGATAAGTGCAGAGTAACTGTTTGATTATTCACAGTACCGCGAGCGCATGTTTAGTTTGATTTCATTAGAGGCCTAAACGCCTGTATAGTCAGAATTTTGAAATTCTACAAATAAGTACCTGTGGGTAGCTTGCCAGGATAGGAAGCCTCCGTGGTTGTTGTGGCCTTTGCGGCCTTTGTTGTGGTCTCTGTTGTGGCCTTTGTTGTGGCCTCTGTGGTTGATTGCTCGGGCGCTTCGCACAATTTTGTTTCTTTGTTGCACGGTCTAGTGTTTTTTTTACAACCACTACAGGGTTTTGTTTCATTAACCCTATAGACAATTCCATTTCCATCATTAGCAATTGGGCTATAAATAACATAGCTTTAGTTTCTGTGATGTACTATTTGAGAGCAGCCAAAAAAGGCTCAAAAGCAAGTAAAGCTGTTTTAGTCGCAGACAGAACTGCATATGTATAGGCGATTTATGACACGCAAAGATTAGGCACCATTGCGTCTCACCACGATATTTGGTGCATGAGAGAGACAGCAGATGGTAGGTAAAACAAAGCGCTCCATCAAAAAAACGCCGAGACGTCCCCATCATTGCATGCTACGAATCGCCGGTATTTGCTTGATCAACGAAATCAAGGGAAAATCGAAGATTTCGTCAAACTTCTTCAAAGCCATGCCGAATTAAAAAAAATCCAATGATTTCTGTCATATGCGCTCTAAAAACTGTACCGGAGAAGCATAAGACTTCTAGCTCAAGTGATCTCCAAAAATACTAGATAAATCCATCTGGTACGTTCTATCTAATGGTTTGCTTGACTACGGGCTTGTTGTTCTTGGATCGTCACAAGCACCAAATTGTAATTGTAAATGTTTGAATATTTGAGAAATTTAGCCTCATTGTTGAACAGTCTTTACACAATCTTTTCCAGAAAACCTGACATTTAGCTTGAGGCTTGCAAATTCTTCGTTATCCACGCAACAGGCAAATCTGCGGAAGAAAGCTTACGGTTTGTTTGTTAGGCATAACAGATATCTCTTTCCGGATTTACAAATAAGCTCTGCACAGCCAATCTTTGTCGTGTTTTCATTCATAAGCTGAAATATGTTGACATTATCTTGTTGATGTCGTGTGGAACTCAATTACACAGAAACTGACATTAGTGAAGTTCTCGAAACTAGTATCACTACTAGGCCTTTTGACTTCAGTGGGGGGCCCAGTGAGGCCTGTAAACGGAGCCGCGATATGCTCCCTTAACCAGGTGGCGACCGCAAAGCTCGGCGGAAGCCCGAAATCATCAGGTTCGCTAAAATTTACGTCGTAATATGATCTTCACATATGAACGTAAACAGCGATGAATGTGCCGTCACCATTCACATTCGAAACCTTTGAGAATTTGCTGAATTAGATAGATGAATAATTAATCCATTACCAAGGCCACGGCACAATAACTACAGATGAAAAGTCTGTTAGTGATTGCTTACACATAGTAGAGCCCTGCTTTTCCGGCAACATCTTCAGGTTTTGTCGAACGTGTACAGTCGAGTCCTAATTTTTGTATCGCGGTTTCCTCCAGATTGCAGCCCCATTCCTAAGTTGTTATTGCAAAGCTTTTACGGAGCTTTATATGATAGTGTATCATGTGAAAAGACTACTATTCGGAGCTGAGATACTTAGGCCAAATAAAGATTAGAATTCGGGAGCTCTCACCTTCAAGCCTAAGTGCTAATTTTTGATACGGGTCATACCTGCCCAAAGTATAAAATACAAAGCACTTACAACTTTGTTCATTGCCTTCGCTTTTGGAAATTTAGTCGCAGGTGAACTACCACTACCGTCTTCCAATTTTCCCTTTGCCAACTGCGATCGTTTATTATTGATAAGGTTTAGTATATTAGAATCGATATAAGACTTTTCGAGTTTACCACCATCAGGGCAATACGCTGTAAATGATTATATTTGGAGTACAGCTTTGTCGGATGTTCTAACCAACCTTCTGACGAAGCTGAAGGCACTAATATTGCCTGAAAATTAAAATTTATTGTAATTTAGTAATGGCTCTTTAAATGGCTTGTAAGAGAGTCCTTACCGTTAGAGGCAAAATCGAAAAGAGGAACATTTTGTAGATTTTCGAACTATTCGAAATTCGCCCGCTTTTATGCAGCCGCTGTGGGCGTGACACCATCTTTGACGTAATATCAAATGTTTAGAAATCTGTTTGACTTGATGCAAGCATGTGATATCTTCCAGAATTTTTAGAAGAAAAAAGTTAGCTGCACAATATATTCAGTTGCTACCATTGTTTCATGCTGTGCACGAAAAATATTGCAGCAAACTTTTTCAAAAAATCTAAGGCAATTCTTTTATTCCGAGGAAGAGCATTTTACTTGTTCGTTGCTGACCACTTGACAGAAGTTATCTAAAGAAAAGAAAAGCGAGGATGCAATAATCGTAATTTGTGAAAAAAATAAAAGCTTACTGGTTGGAAATAAGTAAGACCCTACTCTTCATTGTCTCTTATGCTGGTCTTATAATTAGTCATTTTGTAGGATTAGTTTCAGAATGGTGTGTGTGAGAGCTGAGGCTTTCTGATGCAGGCACCAGTGTAAGAGTTTCAAAGCAAATCCGAAAGAAGAGGGACGGTTTGAGGGTGGAAGAGGAGAATGAGTTTGAGTATTTGTTGAGGTAGGTTAACCAATGTTCGCTCTACCGTGACCGACTCACACAGTCTTTTTTCTGTTTGTGAGAAGTACACTACTGCAGGTTTGAATTTGTGAGCCACAACTGCCACAAAACACTGTGCTTTCTGTGAGTTCCGGGACAAAATTATGAATTGGTTCAAAAGTGTGTCGCACCGTTTTTGTAAATCGTGACTTTTTGCACAACTTGATTTTGACGGAAGGGAATCATATTTTTGTAGTGGTTTGCTGCTCTTCGGCGAGGGTAAGCTTTTGAAATAGAAGCACGTAAAGGAGGTATAGAAACTGCTGGTAAGCTTTTGAAATAGAAGAAGGTAAAAGAGGCGAACTAAACTTGGGTATCTTCGGTGGTGAAAGTCAATCAAGTTCGCTCGACTCAACGGGTTCTTGATTTTCTTCTGTTTTTGAGGAGTATACAACCGCTGACTTGAATATGTGAGTTACAATCGCCCGAGAGAGCCATTCAGCCATTCAAAATTCACAAACAAAGGTCGTGAGAGTTCTGCTGACTTCTCAAGCTCTACCTAAATGTTCTTATACCAGTGAAGGCAAAGTAATAGGGGTGGCAAGTTCTGTCGCGTTTTTGTAAAATCATAACTACTTCTTTACGATTTGCAAAAGCTTAATTTCTGCAAGGGAGAAATCATTTTTTTGTAGCAATACCTTCGCTGCTCTTCGGTGAGGGTTAACTTTTAAGATTAAAGCAGGCGAATAAGATCGCTTCAGCATTGGTCATCTTGAGTTAGGTCTCAAGAAAACGAAAGCTACAAGATTCTGATGTGAGCAGAGAGTAAAATAAATCTTGAGATACGTCCTTTCCAAATGTGCGGAGCGCTAAGCATTTCAAAGGGGTGACTTTTGGAAAAATGCCGAAAAAAATCAAATTTGCTGTTTTGTACTGCTCACTGAGAAATTATGACTCTTTGAAGTGCCTGATTAGTACAGCACAGTTGAGAGTGTGTCGTTAGCCTTTATCATTAATCAAATGGATAGTAATCCCAATCAGTAAAGGCCAAACTTTCAGACGTTGAAAGTTTGTGAATATTGTGAGTCATTATTAAGGATCTTATTGTTATCCGCTTGTTCCGAAACTCACTGCAAGTTTCAAATTTTTGGCAGCCCAACGTAAAATGCCCTTAGCAAATGTGATTTTAATCTCCTGCTTGTATCTCAAAAGCGTACCCTTATTGGAGGTACTTTCGCAAGGGGATTTTTTTCTAGTGTAGGATTAAGCTTACAAATCCGTTGAGGGAAGAAAGCGTTGAATTTTTCAAAAAATGGTGCGAGAGCATTTTCGCACTAACTTATTAAATAGATCATTTGTAGCTTGACAAACTTTTACATTTTATCTTTTTATTCTGGAAAAATCTTAGTCTTGCGAATATCAAAGGCAAAGTCCGGAAACTCGGTACCTGGGTGCAGGATTAGAAAAGTTCTCTGAGCCTGGTTAAGCGATAACTCTCTGGTTCAGATGTATGTGAAAGTCACCTTCAATCTTTAGCTCAGACTGCGTTTCTGCCGTAATCAAGAATGCTGATTAGTCTGCTCGGAAAGAAAAGCTGGAGATTCAAATGAAACTTTTTGACTACAATCATAATATGCGCTTGGAGCTTGGGCTACCTTCGCTAAGAGCTTTCGTTAGTATAATACAAATATAAGGTCCTACCAGCTTGCTTTTCACCTATTTCAAGGGATTATACTATCCTTCCTTAGAAGTACTCATTGCAGAAACATGTAATAGCTCTGCGATAAACTTGTTTCAGCTTCATTCTTACAACAAAGGATGGCGATGTGTTTAGATCGGGACACGTGGTAATGAGATAAGCTAAGGTTTAGTGGTGTGAAATCACGTTCCTTACAGAATATTGTAAAATGCGTAAAAAGACTTCTGAAATCTTGTAATTTGACTCTCTTTAAAATGTAGATAAGCTCAAGCCTGTAACACGATAGACATTTCCGAACTGGTGGCTTTTTTTACAGAGCAAAATATAAGGATCATTTAGCAAAGCAAATGAAACATGTTGAAGGCATCATGACATTCCAAGTGTTATCCAACACTCGTTTCACTACACATGTAATGCAATTTCTCCTTTTTTAGAGTGATGTTCATCGTTGTTCCCTCAGGCAAGTGTTGCTTGCTAAACTCTTATAGTTTTTTGGGTGGTACAAGTCTATTTTGAAAGCTCCACATGCTAGGGTACTCGTTTCAAAAAAGCGGTGTTTCCACATTGAACAAAAGACGCACCTTGTATATATCTAATCTTGAACCAACCATCTTTTCAGCAGAGAATGACTGTTTTAACGACAATTTCAGTCTCTTGGCTTGGGAGCGCCAAAGTCTTGGCTTATGGTAGCCGACAATTTTATTATTAATCAATGAATTGGTCCTTAAGAAACAGTTTTCAAGCTTCACTGTATAGCAAAAACCTTGTGCAAAGCAGTCCATCCTTTAATCTACAATTGAGCCCTGACTCGGGTGAAAAACACTTGCGAAGTATCAATTTTGACGAAGCCCTCGGGACCTCATAATTGGTTCGAAATATTTTTTACAAGATCGAATAAGAATATTTGGAAGGAGAATGTTACAAGGATTCGAACAGCCATCAAATGTTCACAACTCACTTTCCTTGAAAGGGTTTTCATGCGATCGCTCCGACGAAGCGATCGCAACAAAATTGTCTCATTTCGTTGGTTCATGTTTCTCCAATCACAATAAATATAGGTACGACTAGAAATGATTATCAATAAAAACTCATATTAACACGAAGAAATTCAATCTCCTTGCATCCTGAATGCGACAGCTTCGTCGCGATCTTTCAGTTTCGACGACTCAATGGAAACTACCCTCCTAGTGGAAGTAGATTAACTCGTTTTGGTCCACGAAATCGCTCACGGCGAAAAAAGAGTGTACTTGCAGCTGTTGTTAACAGAGGGACCTTATTTCGTAAACTGTATGCTAGATCTGTAATCAGCAGTCAGATAAGCCCCGTGCCCAAAAATCTGAGTGAATTTAGAGTGTTTGGATCTTGTCGATTGAGAGGGACTTTTGTGCTTTCCTTGTAGATAGTAACAAGAACTCAATCTCTAATAGTCCAAAAGTATCTATGTTGCACACGATACACATAAAACTATTTTTTCTCTTTGGAATTGAAGCAAGGAAAAGTTGCGACGTCGCACGCGTTGTTCGCTTGCCACACTTCGCTGCAACCAGTTCGATCTGTCTTCGTATCTTCTAAACACTATCTGCGGCACAGCTCTACAGAGTCCTTGAAAAGTGGTAGTTTAGGCCTTTGGCTTGATAACTTTGGATTAATAGAAAACTTTCTGTAAAAGTCGAAAAGAGTTTTCAAAGCAGCTTGCTGCACCATGTGTAGCACCGGTAAGAAACGTGTTGACCAATTGATGGTTTTAGCATCATTATATCACACTCTTTTCGAATACCGTCATTGGATCTAGTGAAAATTATTTTGATCTTAGTTATGGACTCCAGCGTCCGTTCTACCCAAATTTGACCTCAGCAATATTTTGTTGAAGATAAACTCACAATATTATTTGATTCTTTACGAAATTGTTTGTTATTGAACATCTTGTTCATGATTGCAATTTGTTCGGACTCTGAACAGATATGCGAAAAAAGAATATTTAATTAATCACCATTCGTGCACGCACCTGACTTTTGTGCAAATAGTACATTCTTGAAGTTATCCTGAACCAGCATCAAAGCCATCTTTGCTTCTGTTTATCATTCTGTTGCTTTTTTGCACTTTTGGAGAGATATGTACAGAGATTGTGCATAGTCCACTTTGGGCAGCGCTGCTCGTTCATTAGATTATAGGAATATAAGTATCAAGATCATATTTTTTGATCTGAATGCTGACGAATTTTTTCGTCCACTCTGAGCGAAATATGGTGATGTCACATGAATCGGGCGACTTTGCGTCATTTTTTTTTCAAAAAATATGAGGGGTATTGTATGGTGATTTCTAAAACAACATCCGTTGAGTGAAACATCAGAAAAAACACATATTCCATTTGCTTTGCCAGGGAGAATTATAGCGATTTTCTGGATTGTGTGCTACAAAGATGGTGATAACAAAGCTTTCATTACTCACCCCCCCCCCTGAACACTTCACAACAGTAGCAGTCGAAGCAGTGTGAAAGCAGTCAAATCAAACCATACTCAGCAGACGTCTGAGTTCTACGTATCTATCGACTGATTGCTAGCCATGAAAGCCAAAGATACCCAAACGGATTTCGTGATAACAAGTTTCAGTGTCTACTGGGTCTAACGCTGTATACTGTATAAGTCTCAGTAGTGCACATAAGCAATACGAAATACATAAGCATGCCAAAAATGTAACTAGTTTGCTTAACGCCCACAATCGATCATACTACATCATCATATACATAAAGTGAACAACATGTTTACAGCAGTGGCGTACCCAGGATTTCGGCTCGGGGGGAGGCGCGACAAAAAAATTTTTTTTAATGAAGGTGCGTGGCGTTAGCCACGCACTCCGAAAAAATTTTTGGGGTGTTTCTAAAAAATTTTGGGAGTCCCCGACCCCTAGAATCTGGAAAAAGGGGGCGTGGCGTCAGCCACGCCCCCAAAAAAAATTTTTTTATAAAGCTAAAATGAATTTTTAAATAATTTCAAAAATTATTTTAATTATTTACAAGTGCAAACAAGTCACTTGCACAATTTTATAACCCATGTAGGTAACTTTCAAAAATTTCGCGACCCGTTCTCGGGGGGGGGGCCCCCCCCGCCCCCCCTCGGTACGCCACTGGTTTACAGTATGTTGTGACTAATATTGTGTAAAAAGCGTCGGAAACTTATATGAAGTGATCCCTTTTATGTACCAAACAAACACAGTTGAGGGCTTCTCGCCAACTGGGCTGGCTTGCAGCATACATGTTCCCAGGTTCGTGTGGATTTCGGACCTCTTTGGGGAAGAGTTCTTCCCGTTCTTTCCAAATTGTACACGAAATCGCTTTGTTGAACATTGCGCTGTAAGTTCAGGAGCTCACGTTTCTTGACAATGGTTTTCTTAACTTTTATTTTTGAATTCAAAAAATTTCTTTTCAGTGAAGCGGTTTTTCCACATGATAATAATACCAAACTGAAGAGCACAAATGTTCAATTCAGATCTACCTTTTTTTATCTGCCGAGCGCTCTCTGGACGCCGGCTTATGAGCGCATTTTGAGGTTACCGAAAGGAAGGCGCAAATGAAGAAACAAGATCGTTCACAATTGCTCACTTTTGAATGTCAGAGTTGGATTTGTTCTAAACAATATACACATCTTCAACACCGCTCTTTCGAACGCTAAAAGGTTCGCAGCATTTCATTTTACCTGAACTTTGAATTCACGTTTTGCTTCGAAAACAGCCATAACACAAGGTCCAGAGGCGCAAAACAGATTTGGAGCTAGCGTTCAGTGCTTCTTAAAGGGAGACGGTCAAGAGGCGCGATTTTTCTGGCTGTCACCAAGTTAAAACTCCAGTTAAGTGCTATGCGAGTCTTCAAAAATTACCGGATAAAGTGCATTAGCTTATTATCCGTCTGAGTTCACCACTTGCTGAGTTTCATGGTTGTTGCTATAAATCGGACTGAAATATTTACGAATTTGTTGTGAATTGCATTTTCATGAGTTTTTGACCTTCAAAATTGCTCTTTTGAATTTTTTCTAGAGCATCAAGATTGAATAACTCATGCAACTACCTAATGCATCTTCTTCCAAATTTCATATAATTTTAGAAAGTTGCAAAACACTTATTATTCGCTATTTGGTGTCCAGCTGGCAATAAAAATTGCGCCTCTTGACATACACCCCTTTTTAAAGCATATAGGAATTATCGAGCCACCCTTGATTGCAATGTACTTCCCTTTTGAAATTTTATGTACCCCATTGATTTGAATTTTGAGTTTTCCCTACATGATGCGGTTAAAGAATAAGGTTTCATACGTTTGTGGTTTTCTCAATTCTCAGCTTCTTTCTTTTAGCATATGTTAAAGGTTCAGTTCGATAAGAGCTCTAAAGCCGTTAAAGAAGTCTTCATGAAATGGTGAAGCCAAAAGACTTCGGAAGCACCCAAGACAAGTTTCGTCGGGCCCTGTTGGCTACTGTGCCTGATCTTAGCAACAGTTAGGGTAATCAATCGTTTTCGGAACAATTTCCACGCTGGTCGCTTATCGTTTTCGCCTAAGACTTAGGATTTTGCCTCTTTAGAAGCCACTTAAGCAATGTTTAGATAGAAATTATTGCTTTGCGAATCTCCTTTGAAGCATAATTATTTTGACATAGAAAGCAGTGCTTGGATATCAAGGATGACATCTCGACGTCACATTCAGCCGCACAGCTTTGCAAATAGTTTGCAAAATAACTGAGTTTTTTTTCAGGATTACAGTAGTCGAACATTTGCATTGAAGAGAATAATTTATGCGAACAAAAAGCAGTCATGTGGTTGCTGCTCACATATGTTTCAACTACTTTCGGATTTCCTCATTGCATGTACTCAAATTATAGCAGCTGGAATGATATCAAGATAACAAAGAATGGGAAGGATAAAGGATACTCTTTGATAAAGATGGCGCTTCTGAGTTGTAACTTTAGCATGATAAAAGAAATGTGATTTTCCTAGGCAACTTCAACGCCACTGTTCTTGCACCAGCAATCAGGTTGAAACTCGCTTAGGCCTCACACCTCTATGGACAACCGCCTGGATAATTCGCCACTCTTGCTGCAGTTTTTCTTTACCATGCCCTTTTCTAAAGTTTCCTGAACGTTCTTCTGTAGGTTCTTTTGTAGTAGCTCTGAATTCCTGAACTGCTCAGAGTCCAAAAAATTGTACTAGGGGCACGAGGTTGTATGGCTGACCTGCAAATCGTTTTATGCGGGAAAAAGCAAAAAATACTTCGTATTACGTCGTCCCAAAAATTCATTTGTTTTATCCTGATTCATAAGCTTACGTTTTTAACGCACTGATTCCTTGTTGCAAATTGTAAGAGGAAAATTTTTGTTTTTCTTAATGATGTGTTGGTTTCTTTCGACGCTATTCAAAGCTAAGAATGGAAAACAAGACCACTGAAGCTTTACCAGATCATTCTGACAGTAAGTTAGATCGCCAGAAATCTGACATATTACAAAATTCGAAAACAGTGCATATCAGTGGAGGTCTGAAAAATTTTTACGAGGGGGGGAGGATGGTCGCAACTCGGAAGCCATCTCAAATTTGTCTCCAAAAAATTTGGGGATGGCTTTCGAATCCTTCGCGAACCTAGAAAGAGTCTTACAAAGAGTCTTACAAAAGAAACAACCTTCCGTCCCCAGCTTTGCTGGTTCTGTGTTTATTGGACCCAATCACCCATTTTTGTTTTATGCAAAGTGTAATTTTAGTAGAGGGAATATCCCGGAGGTACTCAGCAACTAGATCTTTGATGTCAATTTTCCTCTTTTTATGTGTGGAGATTTTCTCACAGAATATGAGTAATATAAAGGGTTAATATACTCATTTAAATCACGTACTTTAGTCGTATCTATGCAAACTCATTGTGAATGGAGAAGTTATGTACCAGAGTGCTGACTAAAAAATATAGATCCACTTTAAAAATACCGTAACTCACTCGGTTGTCAATTTGATTCAAAATTCGGCACTTAATGTGAATCAGCCTACTATTAGTCAGCAAAACAAGCCGTCACCGAGATTTGATGGCACGACTAATGCCGATCCGTGGCACCGTAAAGTTGACCTACAAGGGAAGGCCGCTCGGTCGAAGTGGCAATCCGGAAGATGATGTGTGCCAAACGGATAGAGCTTGAAACCGATTTCAAATATATCTTCTATAACTGGAAAGCGTTCTTTTGAAAGACTTATGAGGACTTCTTATGCTAATTTTCGTGAATTTCGATGGCAAAATTCGGAAATTTCCACACAACACCTAATAAGCGTTGTAGGCCTGAACTGATTCTAAACGTTCTTAGGTGTTGCTCAGCCCATATTGTTATCCACATTTCATTGTAGCCCGAAAAAGCCCATAGCTTCCTTGGATTAACGCTTCGCATTTATATAACGTTAATGCAAAAGTAATGCGCGTTTTCCGATTCCTCAATTTCACATGTTATAACTTTCTAGCAAATCTATATTTTCCAATGCGATAAAATAGTAAATATTGATATGATGGGTTCTTTACGCCTGTTTCGCCTCTACCCCTATACAGGTTACTATAGTGTTAACCACTCCCGAGGCTCGTCAGTAGGGAAGAGTGGTGCACTGGAACGGATTGGTTTAGGGGGGGTATTTATACATGAGGGGTAGAGCAAATAGATCAAAAAAGTCAAAAAATGCTGAGTTGCATTTTTGTGAGCATTCTAGTGACAAAAGTTTTAGTGTTTTTGAACGATTGTAGTTGCAAATACTTGTATGATATGTATTTATTTTTACTCAAACATTTGATTATGGCGTTAGAAATGATGTTGGGAGTGTACTGTAGTGTTAAAAGTTGATCTATAAGTAATTCTAGTCTTTCAACAAAGACCATCAGAGGCAGCAAAGCTTTCAGCTTTCGCAATACAGCACATAAAAAATTATGGATTAATAAGCGAAAAAAAAGTTCTTTGAATTAACTGGCCAAACTCCATTCAAAAATTGTTAGTGTAAATGATAAGTAGCCTACCTTGTAGCCGCAAGCTTATAGTACAAAAAAGATTAAAGGTTTGTAAAAAAA